GCACAAACTTATCTCGTGCCCTCATTGGTCATGTGCGCGTTCGTGTGTGTTGGAGGAGGGGCTCTGTGAGGAAGGGGCAGATTTTGTACTTTCAAGTTCTAGCGCACTCGAGCTGGTTTCTCCATTCTTACCTACCCTACCTTTAACATATATATATTCAAAAATAATGTTTGAATGTAAAATCTGGATAATTTCCCGCAAAATTCATATTTATTCATTTCTTTGAGCCAATATTTAAAAATATTAATGAATAAATAACATTTATAAATAATTAAACATCCAAAACTTAAATATGAGACCAACAGTAACTAATTTGTCAAAAAAAGAAAAAGATTTAGGAAAATATAGACAAAATATTATATGTGGGCTTTTTGTGGGAAAAACATGTCAAAAGAAATATATATATGTTTTTTAATTGCAATATAATCAAAACGTACAACAACAAAAATATTTACATGATTTTATTTAAAAAAAAATAGTTATTATCATCAATATGTACTAATTATATGAAATATTTGTCATTTGACATTTCTTACAATTGAATTGTTAATTAAAAAATTAATTTAATTAAAGAAAAAAGATAATCCCAGGAAATAATTTCATAGCGCCACATAGTGGAAAATATTAGAATAAAACTCAAAATGTCTCCAGGTCTCAGGAGTGTTATATCTCTGTGCTTTGCTTAATCATAAATACATTGGGGTGGTCCTTAAAAGTCGGAAAGTCTAAACTCCAACCCCCAGAATTCCTTCTACTTCAATCAGGAGAGACGGTTTTGATGTAAGAATAAATATTTATTGCAGATACACAAATGAATATAATGGAGTTTTGGCGATTAGGCCCCGTTGTGCAGGAGTATCATTCGGGAGGGGAGAACCGATCCGATGAAACCCCCCGGGGTCTAGACACTGGTGGTGGTGAATGGATGGTTGGGTTTGGTCTGAAGGGGAGGGGCTTAGCTTGACCCTGGTGGTGGTGAATGGATGGTTGGGTTCGGTCTGAAGGGGAGGGGCTTAGCTTGACCCTGGATTCAGAGGGACAGGAGGTGGAAAGGGGTGGAGGAGGGGTTGCATTACATTGCATTTAGCTGAC